TAGTGCCTTTGCCTGTCTATGAACCGGTTTACCACCTTTGCTCCTAGCTTCAAAGTCGCATGGGCTTCGGTCACTATAAATACTCGGATCATGTGGATTGCACCCGTAACTTCAAATACGCATACATAACTGCAATACTTGTAAAGCGAAGTGATCTCTTAATGGTGCGAGGCATTTTGGGGGAAAACTGTGCAGGCTTGACTCGAATAGGTATTGAGTGCACCTTTACAAGTGAGCTTAAAAGTTCAGTTCCATGTCTATTTTGTGATTTAAATAAGTAATTTTTTTCTGGCTTTCTTTCTCTATTTGGTTTATTATTTCGAAATTCCCATGCTTGACATGAAATCTCCATTCTTGTTTTTTTAATCAATGATTCAACTAATTCTCCAAACATTTTCTTACCTAGATATATATGCGAAAAATTACTTTAAAAAAAAGACTTGATTTATAATTTCAAAAGTAGATCAGGGATCTGTCTATTCATAATAGTGCATTAATTGTGAAATCCTGGATCTGCCGCTGATTTCATATACTCCCTGCTTCCTAAAAACCTGATTTTGAAGTCCACATATTGCAGAGTACGGACTATCTCTATATTTCCATGCTGCAATTTGCCACAGCTTTAATATCCACTACGTAAAACAAAGGCGAAAGTGCCCCTCTAAATGGAAATAGGCAACGCCCACTACAGATTGTAAACAAAACATAATGTATCATTAACAGTTTGCTAAAGCTCCAAATGACATATGTGTGCAGTACGTATATTGCATTATCCTAATCAAACATTAGACTTCAAATAGATTTCCCAAAATTAGCTTGCTCTTTGACATCTTGTATTAGTTTTGTCAAGTTCAGGTAAGAGGAACCCCCTTCCTCCCCAGCCTTTCTTGCAATTTCTCCAAGCTTTTTAGCTCTTTCTCTTCTCATTTCTGCTTCCTCTTCTTCACCCATTAATTTTTCAATAACCATTTTAATGTCATCTTTGTTCACTTGTGTATCCGCTTTTTCCTCCTCTAAAAACATAACAGGATTCTCGACGCCAGACTTTACTCCTATCTTGAGAACATTCGCAATTAGCCTTTCGTTACAAAATTGCTCAGCAAATAATGGCCAAGTGATCATTGGCACGCCAGCAGATATTCCTTCTATACTCGAATTCCATCCACAATGAGTCACGAATCCCCCGACAGAAGCATGTGATAATATTAGTACTTGTGGGGCCCAACCGTGGATTAAAATCCCTTGTTCTTTAATTCTTTCTTCAAAATTCTGTTCATTTAGCCATTTTCTGAATTCATCTGAGATATGTCTAACAACCCAAATAAAAGGTCGTTTAGAAGACTCTAATCCAAGTCCGAGTTCTATCATCTGTGATGTTGGCAAGCGCGATAAACTTCCAAGACAAACAAAGAGGACCGAGAGTGGTTCCTTAGAATCGAGCCATTTCAAGTAGTGGTGTTCATCTATTGAGGCTTTGCTTCCTCTTTCAGCTTTGTCTTGTTTCTCTTTGTTGCATAAGGAAACCGGACCAATTGTCCAAATCTTATTACCTGTTCGAGACATAATATAATTTATTAATTAAAAGTATGCTCCTTCTAATAACTTAAGCTTTTAGATTATTAGATGATCACTCAATTCAGTGTGATATTAGAACAAGTATGGGTCATGATTTAATTCAAATCTCACCACTACCCCAAAAGCAAAGAAAATTTTCATTTGTTTATCCCAAGAAAAAGAACCAAACCACATATGTTTGAGATATAATTTAATTATTGCAATTAAAATTTGTATTTTCTGTAACAACTTAAGATAAGATGCTCACAGAATGCAACATGGTATTAAAGCAAGTTGAGATCATCGGTGGCATAATATAACTTCGCAATTAAAAGTGTATTTCCTCTAACAAATAACAATGTTAAACATCTAAATCAGATAGTGACACGATTCAACATGTTATTGGACTTAGCAGAGGTTGTGGGTTCAATTCTCTATCGGCATCCAAAAGCAAAGAATATTTTGATATGTTTGATGCATGAAAAAATAACTAGGCCCTTACGCATTGAGACATGATATAATAATTAATTAATTAAAAGTATGCTCTCACTAACTAACAGTATAAGTGTTCAGATAAGACGGTCACACACTTAAGCAATTCAACATTACCTTTGGCCTTTCTCAATCCTTTTACATATTCCGGTTCCAACTCCTCAAAGCTATTAGCCACTATACCATAAGCTTCATTTTCTGCCTCCTTCATTTTGTACGCAAATTCTTCCCATTCAGGATTATTTGGATCTACCAACGATTTAAGTTGAGCTTTGGTTAGTTCAACTTTGTCCGGAAAATCAGGCACTGAAAAATACTCAGTATCAGAATCAACATTTTCCAACACCTTCCATTCTCTCAAATTGTGTAAACACAACAAAGAAAAGCTACACATCCCATGAAAAACAATCCGAGGAATGTCAAATCTTTTGGCAACATTAGTTGTCCAAGGAAAACACATATCGGAGATTAAACAACTTGGTAATGGATTTAATTCTCGCAACAAGTCTACTACTTGCGACTCAAGCATTTGAGTTGCAAGAAAGAAATTCTTCATCATATCTATAGATTGAAGCATGTCGCAGTTTTCGCACCCTTCTGGTATCCCTGCTTCTGAGCTTGGAAAATAGAGGTCAATTACTTGAATTTTAAGTCCAATCTCTATAGCGCGGGCGATAACTGTATTGAACCTGTTGGCATTTGAGGGTGTCAAAAGAATTGTGATAATAGCACCTCGTTGTGCTAATAATCGAGCTATGTCTATCATAGGTATCATATGGCCTTGTGCCATGAAAGGAAATAACACAAAATGTGGTTGCTCATGAGTAAGAACTGCCATTTTTTGTTGAATTTAGTAGAGAAATTGGAGAATTTTGAAATGTTATATTAGCCTTGTCTCAACATTGCTTGTTTTTTATATAGAAATTCTCAGCAGAAAAGCCAAAAAAAGGAATTTTGTGGCAAATTATCTCATTTTCTTTTGCTAACTTGGAAGCCACGTCTCCTTATGAGCTTCTCCTTTATTTGTATATCCAAGAAAGAAACATCAAAACAAAGTTAAAAAGCTGGTCTGCTAAAAAAAATAGAAAAAAGAATGTGAACAACGGTGAGATGTTTTTAAAAGAAAGTTTTTGAGTGATATTAGTTTTACTCATCTTGCGCATGAATTTTTCACGTTAAAATCTCCGTTCCGTATTGCTATTACCAGAGGCGGACCAAGAATTTTTATACGACGGGGTACATTATTCTGCTCAACCAGTGACTCCTAAAGGCTTGTAGTGTTCAGGGTGTCAACTGTTTTAAATTAACCATTTTCAAGGCATATACGCGTATATATACATAATTTCGGCCGAAGTTTACGGGGTCCGATGACCCCTCATCCATACACATGGGTCCGCCATTCGCTATTACGGCCAGAGGCGGACCCAGGAGTTGAAGGTCGCGGGTGCACTTTTAGATTTAACCAGAATCTACTTTGTATATAGGGTGCCTACTACTCATATATCAGTATTTTCTAAAGACATATCTGTGTATATATGAAAATTTTGCCGAATTTTATGGGTACTAGTGACCCCTCTTTATATATCACGGGTCTGCCTTTGATAACGGCCTCCATCTCAATTTACGTGACGCAATTCGAATCTAAAAGTTAGACGAGTTTTTCTTTGAACGCGAATAGGAAGGTTATGCTGTATGTGGTGGTAATTTCAGATTCATAGACAAATAGATGATGTAAGAGCAGACATAAGCAAACTGAGAGTTACATGTTCTACTGTTTGTTTGTTGCTTCTGGCAAATGGCAAACAGCTAACATCTATAATTTGTGGATGATAATAGCTGGTTACTAACATTCATCTAGAAATATTGCAACCGGACAAACTGATACTTCTGATTGTTTTGAAGAAACAGCACATGGAGATAATTCTGAATTTTATTTTTTGTTCTTTTGTTAAAACCACAAGTTTAGTATCTTGCAAAACTTTAGTTCACATGTGTGTATACTTCTATTGTTAATCAGTTGTCCACAACTGTTTATGAAAGCCTCAGAAATAAACCTAAATCTACCGGGAAAGATGTAATTCCACGTTTATTGGGATTAATTAAGAGTCTCTACTTAGTGATAGACGTGGATGGTTGACCACCAAAGGATGTGGTGCAACGGATAGGGCTGCTCTTCCCTTAACTAGAGGTCTCGGGTTCGAGGTTTGGGTATGGAAAGATCTTTGATAGAGATCGCTTCCCCCCGAATGGAGCCCTACGCGGCGCTAATCCGGATATAATCGAGCTCCAATGCAAATATCACACGCCGGGTGAGAAATCAAAAAACAATAAGTGGATGGTTGGACCAAATATGATTTTATTTGGATCAACTTTAATTTAATTGAAACAATTTCAATCTAGATTGGATTTTCTGGTAGAAATGACACTAGGTAGCCACTCTAAAGGGCTGCTATTTAGGAATTGGCCAGTGTGTCTTAAATTTAAATTTTTTAATTCAATTTTTCTGGACAAAAATGTTCTGAGTTGTCCTTAAGTTAAGATTTTTAGTTTAAAATTTCAAGATAAAATAATACTAACTAATCTCTAAATAGCATCCATCAGAATGGCTCTGATACCAATTAAGAGGATCTGAAGTATATAATTGAAAATGCGGAAATGAAAGTAAATTAATGACAAATTTTAAGAAACTTACTTTTATTTGAACATCAAGAACATGCAGAACAAGGGGATTTTTACAGCAAAGGGAGGAGAAACATAAGAAAGAAAATGGGCGATTTTCGGTCTGCCTTCAATATTACAATTTGAGAGTCTTATATAGACCTCGAAGAAAAGATTGAATTCATATCCATCGTTCATGCTGAATAGCCCGATATTACTTTTTAGAGAAGTCATTTGTCCATTGCTTTTCTGAAAGGCTGTCCTTTACTTTTCTGAAAGGTCAAACGTCGCTTTCTTCTTTTTGAAGAGGCAGAGGTCATTTTCTTCTTTTCTGAAGAGTCAGTGCCTTTGTCCTTTCTTTGAAGAGGTAAGAAAGTAATCACCTGCTAGACTGGGCTAGGCTTGGGTTATTCCGTCTAGATCTTCCATATATCCATTTTTTCCGCTTTCTGCAGAGGATGAACTTGAAACTACTTCTAACATGGCATGTACTTGAGTCGGATCTGCTGACGCAATATTTGCTAGCATACCGAGCAATTTTTTCTTTAACTCTTTCTAAGAGTTGTTTGATTTTGTTCTTGATTCTGTCCTAATTGGTCTGGATTTTTTGGTCTCTTTGACTTCAGGAATCCAACCTTTGATTTTAGGCGTTTTAACTAAATATTTGATTTTATCAAATTGTTTTATATCAAATGACCAATTAATAATAAAAGATATTCTTTTTGCAAAGTAATATTTGCATAATTTTATGTGGTCTGGAAGAGAGGAGATTTCGTTTTCAATTTGTAGTCTCTCATAACGTATTTGAAAGCTTCGGGGCATAGCTTGCTCTATTCCTCCAAATACTTTCCACCAGTCGTAAAACCATCTGGGTAGAATTGATTTCTGGGCTTGTTCGCTATACTTGACAAATCAGGTGTGTGTTTTTGGACGTAGGTATAGAAAGTTAAACCAAACGTACATATAATCTTTAAAATTATAGGTTTGAGGTCTATATTGAACTGATAACACAATTGGAGTGTGTAGATGATCCATTCCCCATTCAAACGGGCTTAATACTTTATTGATGATGAATTTCGAGATTCTGATACTAGTTGGGTCTCTCTCATCGTAGAAAGTATGCTAGAATGTAACCGACTTTGTATCTGTTAGGATTAATTCGTAGTACCTCCTTGTTTTCAGAGGTTCACTAGTTTCAACATAATTCCTGTCTGTGTAGCAAGGTCTGATAAGATCTGCAAGGTCATAATTTTCGTAGCCTTTGTCTGGGGCTAGAACCTTGACTGGTTCTTTTGCAATTAGTTCAAATGTTTCCTTTTCTGAGGAAACAGGTCTCTTTTCTTCTGTTTTAACCGGTGTGTGTGGGTTAACTGCTTGAGCGAAGGACTCTGGGACCTTCATTGCATAGTCAGAACTAGTTAGTACCTTTCCTATTTGGCTTGTTGAGGCTTTTGAGGAAACGTGTTGAAATGGGCCGTCTTTTTTCGGAATGGATCCGAGTATTGTCATGGTAGAGGGTTTGTTTATAGTGGGTACTCTCGGAGGGGTAATCATAAAAGGTGGTCTCACGGGTTCGATGCTAGATAATAATGCCTACCATCTGGCAAAAATCTGTTTTGAAATAAGATTTTTAACATCCTTTTGCAAAATCTCTTTAGCTGATTTACAATCAACTCTTAATAAAAATTCTTTGTTTATTAAATTATCATGAAATTTTGTAATACATAGTACTATAGACAAAATCTCCTTTTTGACGGTACTATAATTTTTCTGAGCCGGATTCCAGATACCAGAAGTGAAACGAAATAACTGTTCGAGAGACTCTGGAGAAATTCGTTGTTTAAGGATTCCATCGTACCCTTCTTCTGAAGCGTCGGTTTCTACTATCATAAATGCTTCAGGATTTGGAATGCCTAGACATGGGAGTTTTTGAACAATGGACTTGACCCTTTTGACTGTGTCAGTTTGTTCTAGACCCCAAGGGACTGGATTCTTCCTAAGGCGTTTATAAAGGGGTTCACAGATCTTTCTGATGTTAGGAATAAAATCTGCTACATAGTTGAGACTACCTAAAAACCTTTGTAGTTGTCTTTTGTCTGTGATTTTATCGGGAAATTTGGACGAGAACTCAATGGCTCTACAGATTGGTTTGTAAGTACCTTGATAAAGGTGATGTCCTAAAAATCTAATAGTAGTTTGGAACAACTTGATCTTTTTAGCACTGACTACTAGGCTATTGTGCTTTGCTATCTTAAAGAAAGTATTGAGATGTTTAAAGTGAGAATCTATATCTTCTGAAAATATTAATACATCGTCAATATAAACTATTGACATATTACTGTAAGGGTTGAATATATTATTCATAATATTCTGAAATTTAGATGGAGCATTCTTTAATCCGAAAGGCATTACATTCCATTCATATTGTCCAAATGGAATATTGAAAGCGGTTTTATATTTATCTTCTTCAGTAATTTGAATTTGCCAGAAACCTGATTTCATATCAAATTTACTGTAAATATTAGCTTTGTAAGTTCTTTTTAATAAATCTCTTTTATTAGGTATCGGATACCTAATCCATTGTAATACTTTATTTAACGGTTTATAATTAATAACTAATCTGGGAGCTCCTCTTTCCTTTTCTGCGTTATTGTTAACGTAGAAGGCTGCACAGCTCCAAGGTGACTTGGAAGGTCTAATAATCTTCTTTTGGAGAAGATCATTTATTTCTTTTTTACAGACTTCCATTAAATCATAATTTATTTGAATAGGTCTTGCCTTAGTAGGTATAGCTTGTTCGTTATATTCTTTAATATAAGGTAGGTTGACTATATGCCTTTTTCGTTCCCAAAAGGCAGTAGGCAAATCGGAACAAACTTCTAGTTCGAGTTTTTGTTGAAATTGTTTAATCTTATCTTCTACCTCGGGGTTTTTTAAAGTTTGTCCTATTTTGTGAACTTTGATGTCATTCTTTAAATAATTAACTTGTTGAGTTAATAAATTTATTTTAAAAATTGTTTGTGATTTAATATAATCACTTTGTTCTTTAGAGTGGGATTTAGATAAGGAAATCTTATTTCTTTGCCTAACACTGTGGTGCAAAGTGTACTTAAGTAGTCGTAATGTGGTTTTATTTGAGTTAGGAAAGGAATTCCTTGAATTATTTCTTCATTAATGTCTCTTGTTACTACAAAGTCGTTAATAAAGCATATTCCATCGTTGCAGATATGTGCTTTTGATAATTTATAATTTATTTTTAATAATTCTCCTACAGCAGAGTATAATTTTTGTGTACTTTT